CCCCCCTATTCAACCCCATTGAACCATGAGGCTATGCAGGAGGGAGCCCCGGGACCCATGACATATACAACAAAATGTGCATCATGTATCTGTTCAGAGAAGCATGTCCCCATGAAAGTAAAGAAAAAGGGATGTCCAAGCCCAGCTCGCCATCAAGATTCCGGCGTTCCACCATGTCCAAATAAGCAACCCTTTCAAAGAGAAAACAGAAAGAAATCCATTCGAAACAAAGCCAGAGAAAAACATAAAAAGCCAGGGGAACACATCTAGTAATAACCACAGGCTCCAGACACCAGTATCTCGCTCGGAATGTACTCCTCCCAGGTTCCGTGTGTGTAGGCCATCAGCCGGTATCCGTTCCTCCAGATCGCACGGATGCCCTGGTCCTGGAAAAAGTCGTAGGATGGACGCAGTAGAAGCTTCCACCGAAGTTGGATGGGGGACAGGTCATGGTAGACCCTGATGCCCCGCAGGTCGGGCGGGCAGTCGGCCGAGTAGAGCTGTTTCTTGGCCCGAAGGACCGCCACCTTCGTCGCCAGGTCATTAAAAGCAATAATGACCGGGCGGGGGCGCAATGATGAAAAACGTCCGGCCCGGAAGCAATTCCGGGTCCGGACCGGGCCGCCGGCGAGTTCCGCCAAGACGCTGGCGACCTTCGCCCCCAGGTCCTCTGGCGTCTCGTTCTCGGCGTCAACGAGGCCGCGAAGGCACACGTTGAGGCGGCGGAGCTCGGCTTGGAGCGCGAGGAGTTCATCAAGGCGCGCCGGTCGAACCGACGCGCCGTACTGCGACATGCGCCGCGCCTGGAGTTGGGCATGGTACATGCCCGTTTGGCGCCGTCGCGAAGTCGGTGGCGCGTCCAAGTCGGGGAGGCCGCCAGCCGGCTCGGGGGCCGGGCGCTTGGAGGGGCCGGGCGCTGCAGCATCAGCGCGGGAAGATTCCTGATCGGCGGGGGAAGGGGTAGGCCGGGCCGCGAGTTCCATCCGGTCGGGGTGGTCCGCCTGCGCGCCATCCATGTCTTGCGCGGGGCAAGTTCGCGATGCGGGCGGAACGGTACCCGCAGGGCGGTGCCCCGGATCCACAGGAAGCGCCTGTGACGGCGGGGAGGTGCGGGGGAGATCCCCCCGCGTGTCTCGCCGTTCGGCGCCGGGAGAATGTTCCCAACGAGGAGGGGGTCGGGAGGCCGCGGAAATGGAGCTGCACGGCGAGGACGGCCGTGCAGCATCACCAGCTTGCCTCGGGTCGGAGGGGAAGGCATCCGGGGTTGTTTCTGGGGCAGCGGGAGGCAAGGCGGATCGAGCTGCAGCACCGCGGGGGGCAGGTCCTCCTCCGGTGTCCATGGCCTGCGGCTCGGAGCCGCGAATGGCCAGCGGCTCGGGGCCCCCCCTGTAGACCGCCTGGGTCGCTGCGTCCGCCGCTGCATGCGCGATTGCGGCGTCCCTTCGCCGCCGCGTAAGGTCCGCCCGTAGTCGCCGCAGAAGATCCGCCTTGGGAACATTAATGTTCCCCGGAATCCCGAGCCGGTGGCACTCGGCAACAAGCACGCGCTTGGTCCGACGCGCCAACTCGGCGCAGTACTTCGCGAACGCGTCCGCCTCCGCGGAAACGTGGAACCCAGGGGGAGTTCCTTCCGCGGGGGGTCGCGCGGGGGCGCCAAGCGGGTTGGCATCCCCCGTGACGCCGCGTAACCGCGCCGTAACGGCCCGGGGCGAGGCAGCACCAGAAAAAGAGCGGGAGTGCGCCATAGCAAGAAATTGTGTGTGTGTGTGTGTGTGTGTGTGTACGCGCTCGCACGTCGAAAGAGATGGCCGAAGGTCTAATTTGTCGTGGTTGCATGTCCAGGCGGCCAAGGCTGATCCAGGACACGCGCAAGCTGGTTGTCCTCCACCCAACACACCACACAAGGCCTTGTGCCTTCCCAAACACGAGGCAGGCAGCCAAGCCCCAAACCAAAATCCAACTGCCATCGACACGGAACAAGAATGGCGGAGGGGGGGAACGACCGAGCACAGCTACGCACTCCAAACGAAAAAAGGGCATTTGCGCGCAGCTGGGCGCGTGATGGGGGAGCCCATGGCCCTCCGCCCACGACCCATCCCAGCTCGCGAGGCGCAGGGCGTCGGCTGGAACACCAGGACGTGGTCCATGAAGGCAACAAAGCACCACAAAACCGGCAGCCAAAGCAGGCCACCATGCACCGCATCGGTCGCCGACGCCAGGAGCCGCTCCTGATGCACTAGCCCACCCCACCAGAACCCAGCGCGCGCGTCGAGCTTGCAACCCCGATCGGGGTCCGCAACGCTGCCCGACATCGGAGTCCGACTTCGGAGGGGGCGCCGATGGCATCGAGCGCTCGAAAACTGTCTCCTGCTCCGATGATCGGACTCCGATATCGGACGCATGTCGTCCGAAGATTCTGTAACCACAGTGTTTCATGCAAGATGTCACCGATTTGGTGAAGGGGTAAATCTATCCCTTCAGCACAAGGCCAGCGTGCCATGTCATGACACGCAGCCTTCCCAGTCACTGAGCCGTCAGCGCACAGTCAGCCGTTCCCCAAGACGGCCCAAAGTACTGGGCGAACGAGCCGTTAAGTACTGAAATCCCGGCTCCTGGCCCTACCGTTAGTCCCCTACCGTTGGTGCCAGGTGGGGTGGTGGCCGACGTGCGTCCGAGGTTATGGCGCTTGGCGCAATCTGGTGGGGCCAGACACGACACACCGATTCCGTGTGGAAAGCACAGCCGAGGCGTCGCGCACACACACGCCAGCTCCCCGCGTGCCGCCCCAAACGGGGGCAAACACCGGCTGAGCCTCCCCCAAAGGGACCTTGTCCAGATCCCAAAGAGCCCCCAGGCGCGAGGATCGCCGCGTGCAAACGGCGCCAGGCTGAAAAGAGTGAGCGAGGAGCGACCCCGGGCGGTCGAGCGGGCACGGCCGGAGTTCCGATCTCCTAACCGGCCCGCATTTCGAGGAGGAAGGGCTCGGCGGGGTTGTGAGGATGGCTGGCATGCCCTTCGGCAGCCCGCCGGTCGTTTCCACCAGGCGCCTATCGCCGCAGACGGCTGTGGCATCCTCGCGCCCTTGCGGCAGCTACCCGGGGTCGTTCGAGGATCCGCCGCGCGGCCCCAGGCGGGGCAGCCTGGAGCAGGCCAGCAACATCATCGGCTTCTCCGCCCGTCTGCGCGTGTCTGGAGATTTTGAGGCGCCTGGCGGTAGCTTCTCAGCCTCCTCGGCGCGGGGCGGGGATGCAGGCGAGCGCCTTGTGAGCGAGTTGGCGCACCAGGGTGGCCGCGGCGGCAGGGGCCTGCTGAGCCGCGAGCTGTCTGACGGCGGCGTGGCGGAGGAGGCGCCCGGGGTGGGAGACGAGCTTGGCCAGGTGGGGACGATCTGCAGCAGAGTTTGCGCCGATTGCATTCTGTGCTGCCTGGATTTGAGGATTGTGGGGAGGTGGCAAAAGTGGCGCGAGGGCGCAGAGAGGCTCAACGGGGGTTGGGCGGGGAACTCGGTTATGAATCTTCGGCCTGGGATTTGGCGTTTGGAGTCCTTCCCCGTTTGCTGGCTCTTCGGGGCCGGAGCGGTGCTGACGGGCGTGCTGTGTGGGATTGCCGGCTGCAGATCGTGGGCTTTCCGGGTGGGGCCTCGCTGCGCCCCGTGCGCCGCGGCATGGGCAGCGGATGGGACCTGTCGCGGCTGCAGGTGAGTTGAGAGAATTTTTTCAGTGAGGCTTTCTCAAGAAATTTCTCCCCCTCCCCCTCTCCTGCGCTGTGAGGATCCCCGCGCCAAGCCGTAGGGCCTGCCTACGCAGAACCCCACCCGCGTTCTGCGCACGAAGCGTGCGTTCCTTCCCCTTGTGTTTTCCCTAGGGGCTCAGCGCCAGCGGCGCCGCGGGGCAGCCTGCCCTCTGCCTCCCCGGGTTGTCTTTCCCGTCGCGACAAGAGATTTGCTGCGTTTCGCTGGTGACGCATCTCTGCTCGTTTCAGCGTAACGCGGGCACGGTGTGGCGTGGCCCCGAACGGTGCCCGCCCTCGACGACTTGCGGCCTGAGAAGGCAACATGTCAGCTAGCATTTCGCTTGGAAACGGGCAAGGTGGGGGTTTCCCATCCCCCCTCATCGCACCCGATTGCCCGTTTCAGCATTTTGCCTTCACTTTTTCGCGCATGCAGCCTCGGGCATTCTCGATCTCGCCCACCGACCCTGCCCTTCTGCTTTCCACGATGAGGGTCCTGAGCACTCGGAATCGCAAGGGGGGCTCCCCACCTGACCGTGCCTTGGCGATGCCCCGACTTTGTCTTTTTATCCCCCCCAGGACACGACCAGGGCATGGCAGATCCCTTTGTGTTGCGCGTGCTGACTGTTGCCCCTGTGAGTGGGGAGGGCATCGCACAATGGCAGTGTTCTGCCCTGTCTTCTGGAATGCAGTCACATTGGTTGACGCCTTGCGCCTACACTCTCCAGGAGGATAACAACATTCTCTCCAGCATCCTGTGTTGTGTTCTCAAATGTCGGCTCCCCGAAGTCGGGAAGTACAACTGCCATCCCATTGGCCCATCTCCCCTTCTGAGCTTGTTCCCCTGAATGAGCACATCAAGTAACAATCTCCTGTTCTGTCTTCTAGTTTCCTTTGCTTGTTTTGCTTTTTCTGCTTTTTTCTTCTTTCTTCTTGAGTGCAATCCCATGGCTGACCTTCTCTGGCTTTCCCCCCAGGAGGAGTATGCCGTGTTCTCAAGCGACCTGGTGGTTGCGGCGTACCAACTTGCTGGGGAGGCCCACCAGGGACAGTGGCGCAAGAATGGCGAGCCTGTGCTGGCTCACTGCGTTGAAACTGCAAAGATCTTGGCGCAGCTGAATGCTGACGAGACAACGGTTGCTGCAGCCATGCTGCACGATGTGCTGGATGACACATCGGTTACACCCCGGCAGCTGGGAGCATGCACAGGGGGCGATGTGCGCGATCTGGTGGCGAAGGTGGGTGTGATGTGCTCTGAGCAGCTTCATGTGTGCTTTTTCTTTGGCTGGACGTCAGGCATTTCATGTTGAATTACCAAGTGGCCAGACAGCGTTTGCTGATTGTGTCGGCATGTTTTAGTTCTCTGGCACAATGGTAGCTTTTGCTATTGCACAACGGCGGCTTTTGCACTGTCATGTATAACATGTGCGGAACACTGTCCCAAGCACCTGTGCTTCACGGTGGTGTAAAGTATCTTTTGTTGCATTGCTCAAAGAATGTTGTGTGTGGGCGAACATTTGTTGCGCATTTTTTGGCCTTCATTTCATTATCCAATGCATGCTTTCTGGAATTTGGTATGACGCGAGGCATCAACTTTTAGCTTGGTGTCTTGGCTTACCTGCTTGTGACCTCGATCTGTTTTGCCAGTGTTCCGCTGTGATCCAATCACTTGACAACTGCACTCCCATTGGTGTGCATCCCTCTAAAGGGTTCCAGAACTTCGTGTGGCAGAGAAAATGGAGTGGGAAGGTAGTTTGCTGTATCATAAGGAAGTAAACAGTCATACAACCATTGCGGACAGACAAGGGGGGTTGGTTGGGGAAAATGGAGTTGAGGAAGCTACAGCAAGTTAAAGGAAGGTTGAACCCTGTCTTCAAGGTGGGCAACGTGAGCCGGCTGAGTCAGCTGGTGCGAGACAGCCAAGCCACCCTGGAGGAGGTGGACTACTCCAAACTGAAGGACATGCTGGTGGCTGTCAGCGATGCTCGTGTGGTACTCATCAAGCTGGCGGACAGGCTGCACAACATGCGTACCCTGTCGGCCCTGCCCAAGCCAAAGCAGCTGGGCGTCGCGAATGAGACACTGCGCGTATTTGTGCCCTTGGCTGAGCGGCTGAATGCATGGACACTGAAGTCGGAGCTGGAGGATCTGGCATTCGGAGTGCTGGAGCCTGATAGGGTGGCAGCCCTGAAGACTGAGTATGACGAGGTGTGTGTGTGTCTCTCTGAGATGTATGTTTAAATCCAGAGAGTGTGTTGTGCTTTGGAGGTGTGTGTGTCTCTTGGTTAGATTGTGCTGTGCTGCAAGTTTGTGCTGGAGTCCATAATGTCAGAACCACAGTTGGCCTGTTGCATCGATTGACAGTTGCGAATGGTCATCTCTTTTACTCCCAGAGCATCGTTGCCCCTTCAATGCATTTTGTGGGGTTTATCAAGCCAGTTGCTGCGCATGCTGTTGTATTGGAACTCGATCACTGCTGTTCTCGTTCCGCAGGATGGAAAAGGTCGCACAACATCTTGCTCACAGGGACAAGAACGGTGGAAGGTCCAAGTTCAAGCTACATTTTGTTTGTGAAGAACATTGTCCTGACCAAGATGGCTGCTGTGTAGAACATTGAAGATCCAAACTTGAGCCTGTTTGTCTTATGGCAAGCCCATTTGCACCCCACCTTACTCTTGGGAGGCACTTGGAAACTGAAATGTGATGTGATAGTTTGGAACAAGAAAAGCCACCCGACCCTCGATTCCCTGCCTGTGCGCATGTCCAGGTGGTGAGGAGCCGGCAGGACACTGAGCTGGGTAAGGCCCTGGAGCGCCTAATGGCTGCATTGGATGAGGATGGCATCGAGTGGCAGGACATCTCGGGCCGCCCAAAGAGCCTGTATGGTGTGGCCAAGAAGATGGAGCGTAAGGGGTAGGAGAACATTAATCGATGGACCAAAAACTAGGGAAAATGAAAAAAGAGAAATTGAAAAAAAAGAAAGGAATCCACACGCGCACAATGCAGCAGTGCTGTTGTTGAATGATCAAAGTTGTTTTGTATTTTCCCCATGGAGAACGAGTTTGTGGATATCATGTTTTGGACATTCTGTGGGCTTGTGCCCTTTTCCGCCCCTGTGGGTGGAATTGGCAGTGCATCGGCACTCGTGACAATTGAAATCAAGGATTCGCACCCAACAGCTGACCACCACAGTGCAAGATTCTGAATGCAACATGTGGAATAGTTGCTTTACTCTATGATGCAACAAAGAAGTATGCAATCCAAAGGTGTGTAACAGTATTCAGAACATAAATTTGTGCAAAAACAGCACATGTGACAACAGAATATATTCTCATGAATTGATTGTGGCTGTGCAGGTACGAGCATGTGGCGGAGGTGCCCGACCTGCTAGCGCTGCGGGTGGTCGTTAAGAGCAAGGTGGACTGCTACGCAGTGTTGCGTAAAGTACAGCAGCTGTGGAAGTCGGTGCCAGGCAGGCTGAAGGACTACATCAGGACGCCAAAGGCCAATGGGTAGGAGCGGCTTCCGGTTCTTGTTGGCACTGGTGTCCATTTCGTTTGTGCCTTATTTGATATTTCTGTTATCTTATTTTATATTTGTTGTTTCTTTCTACTTCGAAGTATTTATATGCATCTTGCTTATCATTTTTCTTGTAATTCTACGCACGTGTGTCAATGTATTGATGGTGTGACAGATCTTTTGTGCGGCTTGGACCCACAGGTACCAGTCGATTCACGAGGACGTGTCCACCCCTGATGGCGCAACCTTTGAGGTGCAGATCCGCACAGACAAGATGCACTACATCGCCGAGCACGGCCTCGCCGCCCATTGGCGCTACAAGGAGGAGGACGCAACGGGCGGCGAGGTGAGTGCCTTTGTGGCCGCGCGCACACTCTGGTCTCAGTATGTGCTAGGCTGGGTGCTCGAAGTTAACGACAAGAAGCTTCGACCCCGGGGCTGCGGGTCTCCGGAAGGTTCGATCTGGAAAGCTGGCGACACATTTGCGGATATGGATGGACGGAGGACAAATGGCGGTCAGGGTTGTCGGCACCATGCGCAGCCCCCACCCCGCCCCGTGATGGAAGACGAGTTCTGGGAACCCTTGTTCGTGGCGGTGGGGGGCGTGGGGGGGCTGAGGATCTGCCAGCTGAGCCGGGGCTGTACTTTGGGGCAGTACATGCTGACACGGGTGGGCAGGGGCTGGGCCTCAGGGCCCCTGGGGATGCCCACAGTCAACGGGGAAGCGGTGTCCGCAGGCTACGTGCTGCGCTTTGGGGACGTGCTGGAGTTTGGGGACCAGGGGAATCGGCGGGAAGGCCTGGATGTGTATTCGATGTCAGGTATTGCGAACCTGAATTTGGGCAAGGATGTGGGTGCAATCGGGTCTATGGGGGGCAGCGACACGCCCAGGGAAGCCGTTGCTGGATGAATCATGTCCTTCGAGGCTACCTCAGGCAAGGGAATTTGGACTGCATTTGCAAGTTGCAATTTGCAACTGCGATTTGGAATTTGGAATTCCGCAGTGTGGAGTCTACTTAGGCATTGAATCTGGTGATGACCTGCAGATCTGCCTGTCAAAGTTGCGGAGTGGGGGGAGGTTGTAGAAGGCGTGGGGTCGGAAGGGGCTGACTCTGGAGGAGTCCTGCTCTGTGGGTTGCCTTACTGGGGATCAAGCCCTGTAGGTGTGGCAGTAGATGAGCCGTGCAGTGCAGGTGTGTGTTTGATTGGTCACGTGTTGGGATGAGTAATGCCCAGGGGCCTGAGGCCTGCTTATTGGGGGCAATTCTTTTTAGAGTCTTGTGAAGAAAATCTACGGGAGGATAAATTTCGGGGGCGAGCGGGTGCAAGCATGGCTGGGAACGCTGTATTAGTAATATGTACCATTACCGATTGTTGTGCACGAGTCGCGATTCCTTATTTGCAATTAGGAATAAGCGGAGTTTGGAATGGATGTGGCGTGCTTGGAAAGAGTGATTCATGCAATGGGGTTGGCAGAGGGTGAGGGTGGGGTGAGGGGTTGCACTGACTGAGATTGGCCCTGAGCACAGCTCTGGGTTTTAGGCTGGCGCTGGAGTCGGCGAACCGTCTTTACCACTTGGACGCCGACCGCTTCTTTTACATTTGTGCCCTCGTTGAGTCAGCAACGGGCGCTGGGGTGCCCCGGGACCGTATGGGGAGCCCTCGAGGGACTGGCGCCTGAGCGGGTCGCGTGTGGCTTGCTAAGAGGGACGAACGAATGAGCGCCAGCCGAATGTGTTGGGATTGACGACGAACACTGTTGCCGGAAAGTATGGCACAATTTCAGTACTCAATGGTACTTAGCTGATCATTTCTTCCCTGAAACGGCGTTAGTGTGTTCTTTTCTGTCTGGGTGCCGAGGGTAGCGCGTTTGGGGGCGAGCAGAGTTGATGCTCTGCTTGTGCAGCTGGCGCTGTGGCCTAGCTGCACGCCTGCCTGGATGTTTTTTTGAGGCTACGAGCATCGAAGGGTGACACAGCGTGCCGTGTTCGTGCGACGCACTGTGTGGCTGCGGGGATGAACTTGGGGGTCCTGTGAGGCCATTTGCCTTGGGGTCGTTCTTTGTTGTTCGTGTGCTTCCATGTGCCCACTGCCGCCGAACAATGGAGCGAGCGAGTTTGGGGAGGGTGCAGGGGTGTGTGCTTGGCTGCTTGTTGTATGTGTGTGTGTGTGTGTGTGTGTGTGTGTGTGTGCCTGTCTGTCTGTCTGTGTGGACCGTCAGTTGCGCGGGAGCAGTTGACGCTCATTGTGTGTAATGATTGCAAGCCGTTCTGTGGGAAATCCTGCAGCTGCACATTTGGTGTGCTTGCCCAGCGAACTTGGCAACGCCCTGGTCGCCGGCGAGAATTGCACAGAGCGAATCGACTTTGACAACGCCATTTGGTCAAACGTTGCAGCGATGTTTATGCCATGCTCGCGGCGATGCTTGTGCTGTGTTCATGATATGCTATGTTCGTGGCGCCTCACAAGGGCACCGTTGCACTGCGTGGATCGCTCACGATTTACGGTCGAGTATGGGTCTATTCAATTGAAAAGCACTGTGCACTGCACGGGATGTCCAAATAAGCCATCACACACGTCTTATTAATTTCCGCCTGGACGGGCTCCTTGTCCCACCAAGGTCCACACACACACTGGACCAATACATATATGACAACACTGTTTGTCCCAAACAACTGCCCCAACAACTTGTGTGCGCTATTCGCTTTGCTAGTACTTAAGCCAGTCCCATACATGACTCAACTGTTGAGTCAGCCCCACGACTCCTTGTTCCCTCGTCCTTAACTCCCACCCTGTCCCCGAAGCAACCGAACATTACCCTAATAGGGAGGGCTGGGCAGGAAGCGAAACAAGATAGAGTGGGGACGAAGGGGCGAGCCCAAATAGCCTCCCCCACTCGAGCCTGCCAAAGCCCGTCACTCCTAAGGGCGCCAAAACTCCTGGCCCTCCTTGAACGAGACAAACCGACCACTGACCAAGGTGCAAGGGGACAGAAACCTCGGGGGCCGCCAAAACCCACTGCACTTAAGCAGCGCTGGCCCCACGGGAGCCACCGCGCCCGCCCCACATCGCCCTTGGCAGAAACCCATTAACAAGGTAGTTAATCCCATGAACCATGATGAAACCTTGGAGGAAGAGGGGCCCGGCTCACCAAGAAGGGTGAAGAAATGCGCCGGGGCGCTACCCACATCCGTCCAGGTGCGATTCCAAAAAGCTCCCCAGCGAAGGGGGAGATCCACCACCTCCAGCGCTCCCCTAGATAGCCAGGAGCGAAGGCGGACGGCCAGGTCCGACGTGACCTTCAATTTAGTCCGCCGTTCACGGAAGACCACCACCCCGTCCGCAATGTGGACGTCATCAAGGAGAATGAAATGGCCGCTTTGGGCCCAGTTGAAAAAGATGAAGTCGAGCATACCCGACACCGCCACACGCAGGAGAAAACTTCTTTCGTGTGCAAGCCAACCTCCAAGATCTTGATCATCGGAGGGATGGAACCGGGGCATGTGAAGCGGCTGGTTCCAGGCATTGGCGACACGAAGCACGGGTGAGCAAACGGGCCACCCAATCAAATGACGAGAAATGGAGATGCCCCGCAACCTGATGCATCATTGAAATTGCCGCTAGGTACTACGGCATACTGTGCACGCCCACCTTGCCCTCCTCGCGCAAGAAGCAAATGTAGTGTTAGATCATAGACAGGTGGGGGGGAAGCGCCTGGAGCTCCTTAGAGGCACAAAAAGCTTAGAACCGAGAAAGTTGGCCTGCGTTGATCGCTGGGTAGACTATGTGTAGAAAGACAGAAATTCGGACTACATCCACGCGCAGTCAGATTGGAGAAGGCCATTCACGTCCATCCTGTAGAGTGGGTGATCCGCCGGCATGGCGTCCACCAGGAAATTCCCAGTGGGAATGGGTCATCCAGAGAGAGGTCCGCCTCCCCGGAGGGCCGCCCATCACCGCGGCCTATGGCCCAACTCACGCATCATAGTGGTCGGGAGACTTGGATCCCTGGGGAGAAATATCCCCGGACGATGGGGAATCAGAAGCTCCTCCGTCGCGAGGCTCCGGAAAGGCTGGAACCAAAGCATGCTCAGCCAATCTAGCGCGATGATGATGGCCTCCACGGTGGGCCAAGCGGCGAGGCTAGGCGGGGGAGGAGACACCACGGGGGGTGGCACCAGTAGGCATCCCCGTTTAGTCCTGGAGGAAGGCATCAGTCCTCGCGCTCCCAACATCTGCATGCAAGCTGTTGTACCTTGGGCAAAGGGTATTCACCACGGAAGCAAAGCGGTCACAGGTCTGGCGACCGAAGCATTGTGCAAGCATCTGGAAGATGCTCGGACTCAGCCCGTAGTCGTCCGCCACCCGCACCCGCGACAGGCGGTCTGGGATGATGTTGTCCACCAACCAAATGTAGGTCAGGTCCAGCAAGAGGTGGCATGCCGTGCAGACCCGGTGGAGCAAGCGGAGGGGGTGAAGAAGCTACTTGGAACCCGTTATCATGTTGCGCAGGCAGTACATGACCACTTGGTTGTCGATGAGCCGCTTGAGCCTTGAAGGAAGGCCACGGGAAGCAGCTGGAAAAAAGTGGTGTATTGCTTGCTGCATTGCTTGCATCTCACACACATTGATGTGCACCAAAGAGCAGTCCCGAAACCCCCTTGTGAGAAGGGGATGGGAAGCACCCCGGGGGGAGAAGGTGATCCCCCCCCCCCTAAGGCTGGCATCCATGGACAGGGTGCCCGCAAAGGGCACCGCGTCGGGGTTGAGGGTGCGGCCTTCACACCGCCAAATATAAAACCCCAAGCCTCCAAGTCCAGCCTGGCTTGGTGGGTGAGGACAAGCCAGTCCCGCCAACTCCGCTAGGTGCGGAGAATTGTGTAAAGGCTTTTCAAGAAAAAATTGGGCTAAAGGAAAGGCCAAGTGAAAGAAATTGCAAGCTCATAGAGGCGAGGCAAATCCCTAGTAACAACCCAATGACAAAATCACAAAAGTTGGCCTTCTCGGCTACCAAAGCCGCCTTCTTTGGGGGCACCTCAAAACAGTAGTATACGGTGTCCACCACAACCCCTAGGTGCATCTTCTGGCGTACTGGGGTCCATTGACACTTGCGCTCTTTAAATTGAAGGCCCAGCGAAGCAAAAATGGCCCGCACCAAACTGGACCAGTAGGTCAATCGAGCGGCATCATTCATTTCCGCCGGGCCGGGCTCCTTGTCCCACCCAGGTCCACACACACATTGGACCAATACATTACACGACATTGTTTGTCCCAATACAACCCGAGGTACCCACAACTTTGTGTGCCCAGTCACCCTCAAACACACTGCGCTCCTCCGGAGCAAAAGATGTGGCCATACCTGTCATGCAAATCCCGAGCGGTAATCGTCATCCACCCGAAAAGGCAATAGTCTCAATCTGATGGGATGCGATACACATCGATGTACCGCCAAAGGGCAGCGCCCCGCCAGTCGCCCCAGTGGCGGATACGCTGCTCAGGCACCTCCAAGGTGAAACAGGTCGATGCCCCACCCGCGTGTAGACCGTGGTGATCGAAAGCGCAAGGGTGCAGATCGGGCGAGGAGGCCAGGAGTTCCCGAAACCAAGAGGAAACCGTGTGGGCGGACGGGTCGCGCTCGCCCGGGAGAGTGAAGAAATGCATTGGCGTCCCACCCGCATCCGCCCAGGCGCGATCCCGAAAGGCGCCCCAACGAAGGAGTAAATCGACGATCTCAGGGGCGCCCTGCGACGGCCAGGAACGGAGGCGGACGGCCGGGTCCGAATCCGGCTTGAGCTTGGTCTTGCGCTCCCGGAAGATCACGACACCGTCCGTCACCCGCACGTCGTTCAACAGAATGAAATGGCCGCTCTGGGCCCGGTTGAAGAAAACGAAGTCGAGAAGGGCGGAAAC